ACACCATTTTTTGAAAGATGGTTTGCCTTTAAAGTTTGGGTGTTTTTCATAGATGTTGAGTTTTTCAGTGATTTTTTCAACGAGGTCTGTATCTGATTCCTGTATATTGTTGATATTTGTGGAATTTGTTTCAATACGGTTAACATATTGTAATTTCAGATTTTCTGTTTCTTCGAGTTTCATTGTGATTTCCGCTTGTTCTAGTTTGTCTACTAGTTTTCGAAAATCTAAATCGGGTTCTCGAATTGAAGAAGGATGGGATGCTCTCTTTTTTATTGCTATTTTCCTTAATTGAGGTGTTAAGGTCATCATTAAGATTTCTGTCATTTTTGTGTTTTTATAGTCGTGTGTATTTAATGAATAAGCTTTTCGAACTAGTGTTTCGATGCGTACTGCTAATTGCTTGATGGTTTCATTTGGTAATCTGCGAATTTCATTACATAAAACTCTTTGTTGTTGTTTGTTTCTTTCGGAGTCAAACATTTTTGAAAATTCTTGTGTAAACCTTTTCCAATTTGATTTTATTTCTATAGGCAATACTGAAAACCATTTTTGGGCTGCGCCGTCTAAGGTTGTCTGTATCAACGCTGTGCGGCGATGTATCCAGTTTTGATGTAGTGGCGTATTAATTGGTTCAGGTCCTATATTTAAAATCAAATTTGCTGTTACTGCATTTAAATAATCTTCTACAGAATATTCAGGGTCTGTTCCTGTGAATACCATTAAAGGTTTGTTTGATGTTATTGATGATCCACCCATAAGGTATGGATTCATTGTCATTTGTAATGATTCTGCTGCATTTGGCATTTGAGAAAAATTTGAAAGTTGATTCCTTGTTATTTCGTGTTGTTGAAGATAATATGGGAGTGGTATTTCATTTTGCATTTGTGTTGGTTGATACGAGTGTGTGATCATTGGGTTTTGTTGCTGAATTGGTTGAAAAGATTGTGTATTAATTGGGTTTTGTGTTTGTATTGGTTGTTGATTTTGTGTATCTATCGGTTGTGGAGAAAAAATTTTATGATATGTATGTGGTTTCTGTACTCCTTGTCCACGATATTCCTGATTATATGGTGCAAATATGTCTGGTTGTAGATAATCATCATCTGAGGATAAGTAATCCATTTGATAAGATGTTTGTTTTTTATTTTTATTTTGTTGAAGAAATGGATAATTTTCACTACGATCCTGTGGAGGATGTGAATTTGTTTGAAAATTTACTGAATTGGTTGATGCCATTGGGTTATCCCAGTTTCGAGATCTTATATGATTATTAATATTTTTTAATGGGGGATAGTTTGTTTTTGATGGATGTGTGTAATTATAATTATGTTCTGCAAAATTGTTTCTAGTGAACGTTTTGCGTGTTTTTGACCGTATTGTCATGGGTCTGTATGTTTGATAATCCATGTGTGAATATTTTGGGGCAACCGAAGGTTTAACGGTTGATTGTAAGGTTACCTGTGTTTGTGAAAGGTTTGTGTTTCTTGGTGTTGTTAAATTTGGACGTATCGGTGAAATGCTTTGTTGTGTAGTTGTTGTGTGTACGATTTCTTCATTTATGAAGTGTGATGGTGTCTGGATATCTTGTTGAGTCAGATTCCTAGTTCCATTGAGGTTTTCATTGTGTATGACTGTCGAGTTTAAACTATTATTTCGCGTATCAGGTAAAAATGTATTATAGTTTAATGGTGTTGCGTCAATGGTTAATGGCATTACTCTTACATAATCTCTTACATAAGATATTGTACTTATTGCTTGACTTGAGATTGATTGTGGGAAGTTTATGAATGCAGGATGAGACCATTCGGGGTCCCAAACATAGTCTGATTTTTCTGTGATGGCGGTATCGTCGTTTGAGTTCTGAGGTCTAAAATTTTTTCTTGCTTGTGAAATTAAATCTATATTATGTGTGAAATAAACTATTATGAACCATGCCAAAATTTTTTGTAAATCATGTTTTGTATGTGGTGAAACTTCATCGTTAGTGAAATTTTCTTTAATTATATTTAGAAAACTAGAAAGTAGTGTGATTTCATGTCGTACCCTTATATGTTTAGATGTTTCTGTCGGGGAGACATTTGGGATTGGGATTTCGTTTTCTAATATCGAGATATAACTATATATTATTGCAAAAACTTCATTGGTGAATATGGAGTTTGCTCTTTGTGAGTTATGATATTGTATGCTTTTTATATATTCTGAGATTACTTTTGAAAATTCTAAATCAAGGTCGTCTGTTTGAATTATATATTTGCTGTGATTCTGGTTTGGTGAGCTGAATTCTATGGAGTAGATTCCGTATTGTTGTGTTAAGTTACATATATCTTTCAGATAGTGATCGATAATTTGTCTTTTGATTTTTACATCTGGGAACTCTGTTTTACATGGGCTGATTCCGGGTTCAAACAAATTTATGAGTAAATTCTTGCAAAATATATGCTGTTCTCTATCATTGGTTGCATCTACGATGAAGGGGTAGATATCATCATCATCTGGACTTTCTTCACCTGGGGTGTGCGTTGAGCTCATTTTTTCGTTTGATGACTGTTAATATGTAATTATCGATGTGTCTAATTGGTTGATTCCAATTGTATAAGTGTACTGGTTTGTGTTTATATTGCTTTTTTATTCTTCTTTTTCCTCTTTTTGATGAATTTGAAGTTGTTTCTGAGTCGGAAAAATATAATTGATCGTGAATTGGGCAATTTTTATCTATCGATTCTTTTAATTTATAAAGTTTGTCTAAACTGCTGGTTTCTGATTCTGAAAATGCGTTTCGGTTTTTGGAAAATCTTTTTCGTGTTATTTGTTTTTGTTTGGTTATGATTTTTCTTTTTAGTGTTTGTCGTTTTGTTCTAATATATCCAACTGTTTGTGTATGAGGTGTGATTACAAGGTCGTATTTTTTGTTATCTATTTCACAATTGTGTAAAACGATTGTTTGTTTGTTTCCTAGGTTTTTAAATGACATAAGGTTTAGGATGACGGATGCAAAAGGTTGTTAAATTATTTCTATTTTCTTAGACTGTTAGTTCTTACGATTTTTTGGTTAGCTTAACCTGGGTCGATTTGTTCAGGGTTGGAGAGAAAGGTATATCGATTCCTAAGAATGATTTTATACTTTCTCGTGGCTAGTATAAGCTAAGGTGTTAACTTACTTAATCTTACTTAGGGGTAGTGATTGTGTTCAAAGGTTGGAGAATAGTAAATCGATCCACAAGGTTCAGGTATAATTAGAACGCGAGTAGTTCGTTAGATACTATTTTAAACTTACTAAGTCTAAGATTTATCCTGGGTCTGGTAAGAGGGGGGATCAAGTGAAGGATGAATAACCGAAGTTCTTCACTGTTTATCCTAATTTGAATGATAAGTTTTGTTCAAAAATATCTATTAGTCCTGGGCTTTTAGAAAGGGTTGGATAGTGAATCGACGTTTGAGGTCGTTAGACACTAGCTAAGTGGGTGGGGGAGAACAAAATTGTTCTTTTTGATCCAAGGATAAGCCTTGATGATCAAGTTTTAAATTTAATTAAATAGGAAATGAATTAAGATCCAAGGATAAGCCTTGATGATCAAGTTTTAAATTTAAGTGAATTTAAGTTTAAAATGATTTAAATTTGTTTAAAGAAAAGATTTAGTGTTTTTATGATATTAGTGAGCTTATGAATGCTGTTATGTTTAGGTGATAAAGCTGGAACAACAGGATAATTTATGATTACTAACCGTTTATTATCATGCTACTAATTTTTATTTTGATTTTTCAATAAATATTTTTCAAACACGTTTTTTATAATACTGCAGAATTTAGGAAAACGATCTGAGATCTTTTTATCAATCGTTATTGTATATTAATAATTTTGTTTAGCGCCTGAAATGATTATGAAGATTGATTTCAAGATTTTATGTTTGCAAATGAAAATCTAAATTCATTGCTAATAAAATTCTAAATACAAAAGTTTGTGTTGGCTTTTGCCGAACTATCATATAACTATATGGTAAGTTTCTACTTTGTCGTATATCGTCTCTGGTTCGAGGTCTTCTTCCAATTCCGGGTAGTTCTGTTATCGTTCGGAATATTGGCTCTGATCTATTGAGTCGTAGAGACATTTCGATTAAATTATCGTCGTATAACATTTTGTAAATGTTTTGTCTAATTTCTAATCTATTATTGGTTAATTCTAAGCTACTAAGGTCTTGTTCGAGATTTATGGTCGCACCAGATGAGTTAGGACCGATGTGGTTAACTCATAGAGTAATTTCGGATAGGGTACACCGTCTGCTCGTCACGCTATCTTATTTTCGGCCGGATAGATTCGTGCAACTTCTTAGTCTAATACCGATCCTAATCTTACTCTTATACTATCTAGTCTCAGGTTGTTTATCTAGTCTCTGCTAGGCTCAATAGATCTAGGGTATACTGGTTTATTGCGGCTGCTGAAGTTCTCTTGGAGAGTCCAACTAATTTCTAAGGTAAATTCAAATCTCTCTGGTGCTGAAATTACAAGTAATTTCAGCACTTACAAATAAGTGGATTGTTAGTCAGATGGATCATGATTGGTTAATATTAAATACTTTACATTGGTAAAATATCTAATTTATCCAATCATAAAATGTAGTTTAGATCAGGTTCCACTATATTCATCGACTCTTTAAAAGCATTTAAACGAATTGCCTTTGACATTTGGAACTCTTACCTTTGCAAGTTCCCAATTAGAATAAAGCACAACAGAGGGGCCCACTATGACTTTTCACATATTACGACGCCAAATGTGCTTTTAGAAAAAAGCGCGGTGATTCAAACTGAGATAGAACGAAATTGAGCCGTTATTTGACTCACAGAGCTCTCACTACCGTTTTAATTGTCCGCTAACTTTTCTGACCTAAGACTAATTTTGATCGTTTAATACAGTGTTGGTGTTGATCTCTGATTTCAGAAAAAAACCATATTACAATTATTTTTATCAAAGCAAGCTAAAATATTTTAAATGAATGGTTTTATCTGTAAATTTTGTAATTAGTGCAAAGAAGTATCAACAGTTTCAAGCAGATTTTCATCGTTAAAAATGTCAGTTTTTTCGTTTCGTTCCATCATTATCTGAAATCAATTAGAATGTTGGTCGATATAAGGCAGTTGATCTGTATGTTACATTTCCAAAATCCCGTCTCTACGTATTGATTAGGCGCCGAGATTATTCACGCCTGGCAGCACTCCCTGGGAGGGGTTTCTGAACTCATCGAAACAAATTTTCCCATCTCGTTACAGCCCTCAGGGTCGCCAGTCTTCACTTGGTTCTCGGCAAAATCTGCTTGTGGGTATCCCATTGGTTCCGTGTAATCTTTATTTCTAAAGAGACATTCTCACTAATGACAATTCACTGAGGTTGTAACAAACAGCCAACAGCCGTGCAGCGGGAAAAAAACTTTAATACACACAATAAACCTCTGTTTTTGTCTTTACATTTTTCCAACTTTTCCTAAAAAATTCTTGTATTATAAGTAGCCTATTTCGTGTGATCACCGATGAGCGTCTTGCTTTCGTCTTTGATCTGCTGTTCTGGATTTCACGAAAAAAAAAACAATTAAAAAAACTGTATTGCTGAAAAACGCTACAAAATGCCGATTTTGCCGGATCAGCAACAAACTTAGTGGAATCCGGAACAGTTTGTGGACTCTCCGCATAAATCACATTATATGCATTTTGGTCGGTTAGACTGTCAAGGAATCTGATTTTTTCTTTGCGGGTCACCCAGGAGAGACTTTCTAACATTTACTTTTTCTGAGTGTCGACAGTTTATCCTCAATTACAGTTAACGATTCAGTCTGTTTTATTGACAACAGTTCAATCAAGTTAAAATCCACCAGCTTAATCTCATATGCTGAAAAAATTAAATCTTACAAGAAACAACACCTCTCCAATCTAAAACACTGGAACAAATAAAACCAACTAAAATAAACCATTTCATGAATTTGAGTTATAACCGATGGTCTTAACTCATAGAGTAATTTCGGATAGGGTACACCGTCTGCTCGTCACGCTATCTTATTTTCGGCCGGATAGATTCGTGCAACTTCTTAGTCTAATACCGATCCTAATCTTACTCTTATACTATTCTAGTCTCAGGTTGTTTAAGTAGTCTCTGCTAGGCTCAATAGATCTAGGGTATACTGGTTTATTGCGGCTGCTGAAGTTCTCTTGGAGAGGCAACTAATTTCTAAGTTAAATTCAAATCTCTCTGGTGCTGAAATTACAAGTAATTTCAGCACTTACAAATAAGTGGGTTGTTAGTTAGATGGATCATGATTGGTTAATATTAAATACTTTACAGTGGTAAAATATCTAATTTATCCAATCATAAAATGTAGTTTAGATCAGGTTCCACCCATCCGGGTTTTACAGAGTTTTTTAGAATAGTTTTTCTGCAATTCAAAGGATGGATGATGGACGTTGGTATTTGGCGAACATCATATTTCTTTTGGGTTCTTCTGTTAGAGAAGTTCCATGATCAATCGTTGTGTCTTCTTATGACAACGACTGGGTTTTCTCAACAAACTCAAATCTGATTTCAGAATGGTTTGCTATGACAGGTTTTTCTGTTTCATGTAGAGAACTTCTTTTGTATTCAACCTAGTCTGGGAATGGCGTGGAGATTGTGCGTGGAGGGGATGCCTGGTTACTCGGATCTGTACGTATACTTGAACATCGAGGTGGTCATTGGTCTAGTTCAATGAAGTCCTTTTCTGCGAAGTCAAGTCGTACTCTAAATCCTTTGAGTTGTGATTGTGGACGGCATATTGATTGTGGTTGGCCATTCTTTTTCGAGTGTAGTGGGGTCCTTTTGTCTTTGGATGTTCGTCTTTGATGTTGTATGCTGATCTATATACTGCAAGGTGTAATTTACTTTTTAAAAAATTTCTATTAGTTCGGTGTTTTAATTATGATTTTGGTTAGTTGTTTTCACAAAATCTTTTTGTTTTAGTTCGGTTATTTTGAAGAGTTACTCACCCTTGAGTACCTCTTATTAAAAATAGAAGTGTGGTCACAAAGCGTGGATGTAGCGCGGTGGGTTAGGCCGGCTATAGAGCTTGCTCAGGACGTCCTCTCTGGTGGGTTAGGCCAGGAGTGGGAGTATGATTTCGTGCGGTTTCTGTGAGAGGTCCTGTTATGTGATAACGTTTTATGTTGGGTTTATTGTGGTTTTTCTTATGTTTCGTTGGTTGTGTCCTTTTTTCAAAAATCAAATTGTTTTTGGTATGGGTTTGTCTTTCGACTTTTTTGTGTTTTATTATTTCTTTCTTAGACTTTATAATAGTCTTCAAAAGAATAAATTATCCAGTTTTAAACTGGGTTAATCCGGTTTGGGTACCGTTGGTTTCCGTTTCTTAGTCATGCTGTTATTCTATGATTTGTGGTGTTTAGTAAGCTGCATTGGTTAGTTTTGATTAGTATATAATTCCTTTCCTACCGGGTTAAAGGAAAGTTTGAAACGTGTTATCGTGTGTTAGAGTTGTTGAGTGTGAAAGCTTGAAACTGAAATTCATTATTTAAACAATTCTTCGTGGGCGAGCTGTGCGAGTTTGGATAGAATTCTTGTGCGAGTGAATGAAAATATCAAAAGGTTAGTACTGCATTTTCGTTTTATCAATTTACTACATAGAATTTCAATTTTACTGCTAGTTTTTTTGGGAAAAATTAAGTTACAAATTTTCATCATTATTAGAATTACTGCTTTTAGGGAAATAATTTATAAATTAATTTACTACATTAGTATGAATTTTATTGAATTTATCTAGTGCAAAATATTAATAGAGTTTTGAAGAAGTTTTCTTTTTTTTATTTTTCTTTTGTGTAATTTGTAGGTGATCGTGGGATGAAGACTAAAAATCTAAATAAGACATGGATAAGAATGGTTAGTATTTATTTCAAATTTATTAGTAAAGAATATGAGAAATTATACTTACCTGTTAGTCGTCGGGGAAAAAACCGTGGGGGAAGATGTCGTGTATTATGTCGGAATTTGTTAGTAATTTTGCTAGTATGCGAATGATGTTTTTAGTTTGAAGCAGTGGCCAAAGCAATTGAAGTGCTTTAATAGTTTTTAGTTCTTCAAAGCCAACTGCAAACTCATAAGGTGTGTTTTGGATGAGGTTATATAATTTGTGATTGTATTTAGTGTTGTGAATGAATTCTAACATCGGGATTTCTATAGGTTGGACAAATTCATGTGGGATAAGGAAGGGTCTGGATTCTTCTGCGTTGAAGGTCTTCGTGATGGGACAAAAAATATACATTTGGGTTATGGGATCATAATTGCGAAGAATACCGTGAAGGTTAGTATCTTTGATGCAATATGTGAAGTTAAGAAAAAATGGTGATGTGTATTTAGAGTTAATAAATTGAAAACGGTGGTGTGGTTGTCTTGATGGAGTGTGTAGATCAAAATGATTTTGTATGAATCGATAATATGTATATGTGTGGGTTTGTTTAGTGCGTAACATAATGTCGTGTGAGCAGTGCAAATCGCGTTCATGTGGTGCGAGGAAATTAAAGGTTAGTGAAAATAATTGAAATCTTTCTTTAAAACTTTCGTAAGCTTGTGTGTCGGTTAGTGCTTCAGAAATGACGTGGTCGAATTTGCGATCAAATATATTGAGTGTAAATACATATGGTGTTTTGATGAAAAATTTTTCTGTGATTTGTGGGTTAGCGAAACGATCATCATCTAAAAATTGGTCTTGGTTAGCTCGGATGATGTTGTGATCGTAATATTCTAGCGTATATTCGTTTGCTCGGGGTGCAGTGTATGTTTTTAGTGACTTTTTGTATCCTATATAAGTAAATTGTCTATGTGTTAGTGGTGTGGTGAGTCGATATATCATATCTTTATTTCTTTCTATATCGATGTGAGTATTAGATAAAGGTAGGCAAAGGGGGTTAGTAAAATGATAATATGATTTCCAATGAAGTGTAGGCATTAAAACTTGTTCATCTACAAAACTACGTGTGTCGTTAGTGTTGTTAGGAGTGTTCAAAGTATATTGTGGAAATGAAGGTAGAGTGATTGCTAAAAAATCTTTCGTGTTAGTGTGATTTAGATGATTAATATATTCACGGGCTGTTCCTGGTTTTGTTGGAAATGGATGGTTTGGGAATTTTCTTTTGAAAGTGCGATAAGCTCTATTAGTGCTATTTGATGATTCGGTGGATGTGGATGATGGTGCTAATGATGCGGTATAAGCTGAAGAGGGTGTAGGGGTAGGTGGGTTTGATGATTCTATTGTGGATGAAATCTGATTTATAGTGGGGTTTACAAGGTGGAAGGGTTGTTGTTGTAGGGTGATAAAATTATCTAGTTCCTGGGAGATTTGGGGAGTATCTAGAGAATTGGATGATCGGTCTGAATGAAATGAAGAGTAGGTTGGGGTGACTTGTGAAGCATAAGAGGGTGTAGAAATGGATGAGAGTGGGTTATTTGGCGGGATTGGTTGAAAAGGGGGTTTTGAAAAAACTGAGGAGTTGGTTTGAAAATTATTGGATGGAGATGGTTCAGAGTCTGCAAATTCATCAGGGGTTTCAATATTTGGGTTATTGAGTTGTGAAACGGAGTATAAAACTGAGATATGTAAATTAGTGTCTGAATTCATGCCTGATGTTACATTATTGGTTGGGAAATCGGGTGGCGGGAAAGCAAAAAGTGGAATTATTGTAATTGGAGTGGTGAGGTTGGTTGGGTGGGAATTTGAGCGGTGTAGGGATCCAAGTTGTCGGCTCATCGTGGGCTAAAAAAATTATTATTTTGAGACTGAAAAGCGGTGGTATGGGGTTGTTCTATAATTTGTTCATATGTATTTTCATCTAGTGAATGATGTGTCATTATATGTTGAATGGGACTTTGTGATATGGTTGGTCTAAAATTTGGATGATGTGTTATTGCTAGATTTCGAAAATTTCGTGGGGCTACGGATAATGGATGGTTATGTGGTAGGGGTGGTAATTGTGGTGCTGTGGGCGTTATTTCTACATTGTTATGTTCTTCGTCATATGTGTTTTGTCTTGTTGCTATTTTTGTGTTGTATTCTTTTATTTGTGCGTCTAAAAGAATTTTGTTTATTGATGATGAAAAAATTCCAAAAAATCCTGCAAATAGTATGCGTGCTACACTTGCTTGTCTATTTACTTGTGTGTGTATAGCGCATGTATTATAGATTCCTTTTAAAAGTGAAAAAAGAAATCCTATAAAGTTAAACATTGCGTATAAAATAGTTAATTTTTCTAAGATGTAATAGGGCCATCCTAGAAAATCAAGAATTTCATTTTTGAGTGTAACAAAGCTAAAAATATTTATA